TCTACTTCAGATTCTGTTTCCCGTTTTTGCACAAGTGTAGCCTAAACCACACCATCCACACATAATGGCAAAGTATCATTAAAGGCAGGGTAGTTCAACAGTCTACAGGCATACAACAGATCTTGCAGGACAGATGTAGGACTGGGATTCTGTGACAGGTTTTTTTTAGAAGCCTATGGCCATAGAATGTTTCGTGCCTTCTCTCCCCACCACCCCAAGTATACTGTGTATCTGTGTGGACTGGAGTGCATGAGAAAGAAGGAAACAGAAAGAACAGATTGTCAGTAGAGAGGAAAAAATGGCATAGACCAAGTCATTGGATTGTGTACATCAGTGGTTCCCAAGATGTGATAACCCAGATGTTCTTGAAATGAATTTCCCAGAAGTCTTTACCACCAGCCGTAGTGGCCAGGGTTTCAAGAAGTTGCAGTCCAAGAACATACGGGTTACTCAAATTTTGGAACCACTGGTCTCCATAGACAATTTCTGGTTCTGTTTGAGTAAAAAATAGAATTAGTGATTAGCTTTGAAGGAGAATTTTGGCTTAGTTGTGGTTTTGTTTGTTTTATTCAGGACATAGCCGTTGAACCCCCCACCCACCCAGCAGCTGGAAGGAGATTTAACTTTTTCCTGATAAGCTCACTCTAAAACATACCCTCATACACTTACTGAAAATTAAAACAAGCAAGCAAGCCTGTATTCAAACTGATTTCTATGCATTTAAAGTATGATCTAGATTGATCCCGGGATCAAAGTGAGGGCTTATAGAAATCTGTGAATAAATAAAAGTTGTAATATGGCTGTGGTGGGTCATAAATGTATCCATTACCACAAGGGGATATTCAGCAACCACAAAAGACCACAATAAATATACAAAAGTGAAATAGATAGGATGTTTCTTACATCTTATAGAATGATGAATGACATTTGGTAGAGGAGCACATGAAGGAGATGAAGTCCAGTGACTGGAAACTTGAACAGAAGGATTGAGCATTATAACATTTAATTTGGGGGGTTCTACATATTTCTCCTGTTTGCTTCTGTTATGTTTATCTTCTCATTCCTCCCCTGTAACTTGACTGTATTTTCTTTATTGTATATTCTTTGCTTCACAACTGTATCAATGCAGCTGTAAAATTATAAATTCATAAATAGTAATAATTATGTTAATGATTTAAAAAAATCAGAGTATATTAGAACATCTATCTTTTGACAAAATATACAATAAACACAGATGCTTCAAGTTGTCCAAAATAGAGCAGCTGAATATACACTTTTAAACAAATGCATAAAATTCATCCAAATGAAAACAATGTGAAGGAAACTTTTTTACTGTTGGTATATACTGGTTTATTATAGTTAATAACACATAACAAATATATGCATAAAGTCTGCTTTAATGAATGATGCAATATACTATGAATTAGTATTAAAATTGAGCTTCTACCATGAAAATGACAAGACTCCATTGATGCTTTAGAATTCCCATAGATGTGTATGAGAAAATAACGTGCATTGAACCCTGGCCTAAATACAATTGATGCTCCCAGCTAGAGTAGAACAATTGAAGTAAATCTGTGCTGAAATCCAGTACAGCAAGTTATGCTGCACAAGGCTGAAGATGTAATCAGCCACCGTGGTGTCTTGGAAACTAAAAAGTTTGATTCTCCCTGTGTCTGAAGGCTGTGAAGCTCCTGTGGACATCCTTTGGTTGTGGGGAAGCTGTTTGGGGCACTGGGATAAGGTGCAAGTCTTTAATTTCTGAAAATCACCACTGGTGGTGAAATCATCCCAGTGATGCAGATGTTCAGAAATTAGAGACTTGCCTCCATTCTGCTGTGCCCAGTGGCTTTTCCATGACAAAAGCAATTCCAGGGGACCCTGGAGACACTGAGGGAAGGGTCAGAAATTTTAAATGTGCAAAAAACCACAGTGTCTGATGATGTTACAAGCCTTACTAAGCCTATGTTGCACTATTAATGAACGGAAATGCTTGTTGCTCTGATAGAATGTGCTTGCTCTACTTGGAATCAACAGCCTCTGTTGGTAGGGCATCCAAAAACTGCTTCAGAGGGTTCAGAAATCATTTACTGAAGGGTGTTTTTTTGGGGGGGGGCAACTGGGATATTCTGAGAGCTTTGGGAAGCCGAGATAAAGTCCCCCTGCCCTGCTGATGCAGCATTGACGTGACATTGAATTTGGGTGAGTGGGGCTGAACTTACACATGTTGGCCTATTTGAAAAATAATTGGAAACAACCTTCAGTTTTGCTCTCTTTCTTCTTATTGAGAAGTTTTCTAAACTTTTATGAGATGTTTGAAATGGTTCTGTAGATTTAGTGCATAGATCAGAATAGATTCACATTGCCGGCATTTCCATACAATGCGATATCCCCATATGTGTGTAGTTGTTGTTATGCTCACATTATTTTGAGACAATTTTAGGTAAGTTTTAATCAGAATTAAACAATGGGGTAGACCCAGAATTAGTCATACTTTAGACAGACCCATTGTTGTTAAATACCATCAAGCTGTTTCATGGTGACACTTATATCTCAAGATATATGAGATGTTTGAGAGCTGATTTAATATTGTCATTGGTGAGTTTTCACAGCTGAGCATGTATTTGAAAGTAGGTCTTCTGAGTCCTATGCATCATATCATGCTGGCTCTCAGAGACTTTAATTATGCCTAAATTATGTGTAACTGAATTTCATGAAAGCTAATCATGACTTCAGTCTCACTGATTTGAATGGCTACACTCTAAGCATGACTAAGTCTGGATCTGTCCCAATGGTTTCTCAAGCAGAATGACCTTCTACAGTACAGGTCAGTGCTCCTGTGGAATTAGTTGAATGATGCAGTACAAAAGGCAGCAGGGCTTATTTACCAATAGCTACAAGGAGATTCAGTAGATATCCTAGCAATACTTGCTAAAATCCCCTGTTCTACACAACTATATCCATTTTTATGTGTTGCTATTCTCAATGTATATATCTTGAGAAAAGAGCTTTAAAATAAAGTAATATACAGTGCAAGGGGTTTTATTGGTAAGACGTGTAGTTAGGATTGCAGTCTTATTCTTAATATAAGAGTGGTCTTAACTGACCAGGTAGGCGGGATATTAATTAATTAATTAATTAATTA